CTGCAACAATTTAACACAGTGAAGCCACCAAGGCCTAGAAGTCTGATAACCTAGCAACACTAGATCCCCCTTTTCATGAAACCAAAAAGAAAAGTACAATGTTTAAAGGTGAACCCAAGCATGCAGAATTAGCTATAGCCCAAGCTCATCCGAACCCAGTACTTTCGGCACGGAGTAGAAATATATGAGTAAAAATCCATTAAAATTGCAACAAATAGTAGATATGAACCCATAACTTTAAAAAAATAATGGGTTCAATACTAGGAACCGTATCCCATAAAGCTTAAATCCTGAATTTTCTAACCACCATTCTCCAATGTCCTCCCTTTGCACCGTCCCTATCCATTCCCCTAATTAATCCCACATCTGCCACCGGAGTAATGTTATCCAATCAAGCAACATAGATAAGTCTATATATCTTTAAACAGAACAACAATATATGAACTTCAATCCTTCCCGGGCCTATATATTCACAAAAGGTTAACTACTACTTTTATCACACAAAAGCACGGTCAATTACATGCAAATTAAGATCAAGTAATTTCCAATGAGGCCTAAGTTTTAAAGCAGATAGAAACAACCCACAAACTTTGTTATTCTCACATCTCTCAGCCAAAGAACTCATTAAGACAAATCACAAAATAACCTAAAAAAAAGAGGAAACTTTATTTGATAACATAAGGTAATTTAAATAAAAGGGAAATTTTCAATACCGTACAACTAAAAACGAATAAAAGGCATTAAGAATAGACAGATCACTAAAACGGACATTCCAAAAGGTAACCAAATGGCACAGAATATACATACATACATACATACATATATATACACACATGCAGTGGTTCTGGGCCAGCTTAGATACCGGGACCAAGGCTTAGGCAGCATGCCCATAAGATTTATTCCAGTAGCAGGATCGAATTTAACACAATCAACCAACCAACTACGCAATATCAAACTAGTTTGGATTTGCTAAATGAATCATTTACATATCTGTATGAATCCTCTGTATCCAATACCTCATTATCTATATAGTTCATTCCAATCATAAAATTTGTATTTTAACATAACACGACGATTAAACACAATCGCTAAAATTAGCAGAAGAATACGAAAAGATACCTAACACCAGCATCGCCAACAATTCCAATAGCCATACCAGCAGAAAGGCCAGCGAGACCACAAGCAAGTCCAGATGAAAGGTGAGCATATCCATCAAATAAATAATACGACTTTGTTTTAGGGTTAATCCCAGTACTAATAATCACAGCTATAATTAACCCATAAATACCCAAAACTCCAGCCATAACAACTGGCACAATTGACTTCATCACCAATTCTGGCCTCATTACACCCATCGATGCTACCCCTACTCCACTTTTCGCTGTTCCATAAGCTGCTCCCATACCTAAATAACAAAAAGAATAGAATTAGAAATAGAATTAAGCAAATTAAACACTAGATCTAATGGAAAATTGAAATTGGAGGCGAAGAGTACTGTACAGGAGAAGACTAAGGCAGCTGCAGCGCCGAGGAACCCGAAGAACGGTGCCGTTTCATCGCCGCTAAAAGTCGACGCCATTTTGGATTCGCGATCTGAGAGAAAAAAAAATAAGTTTATTGATCGGAATCTGAGAATTTCTGGTCCTTACTTTACGATTGATCTTAATATTGGTCTTAAAAAGAATCGGAGCAACTTCGATGGTCAACTACCGGGTCTGGAGGATTGGGCCTTAGGCCCGTACTCACTCTTTTGGCCCAACACTAGTCTAGAAGACTTCTCCACCAATTATTTTCCAAGCCCATCCTTGATAAAAAAAACCTATATATGTGTTTACATGAATGATCCTGATATATTTGATACTGGCTAATTTTTAAATAGTAACCCTCCAGAACGTCTTTTCTATTATACATTTTGAGGGAAGTGAGCCGCTATTTAAGTTAATTTCTCTATATTATTTTTACTTTAATTTTTTATTCTTCAAGCTAAAAAGCTTGGTTAGTTTGAAACACCGAGTGCAATTTTGAATTATCACTCTACTCTATCAATTTTTAGTTTTCTTTTTTCTCTTTTGCCTTTTTTATGAACTAATTATTAAATGAGTTTAAGTTTCATTTATCGATAGAGTAAAACAAATTTATATGGTCGTGTCACTTAAAAAAATTCGTCAAGTGCTTACAACATACATGAGTTATTGAACTAGAGAAAAGATTGAGTAACCAACTGCAAGTGACTAAATTACTGCAAATGATTTTCACTTACCTTCCTTTTTAAACGTTGCGAATGATTTTCACGTCTCAAACAACATCTAACTTTAGATGTTGGTTCAAATGGTACCACTAGGAGTGGCAAATGGGCGGGTCGGATCGGATATGGTTCGGGTCGAAAACGGGTAATAAAAACGGATAAATTATCCGACCCGACCCATATTTAATACGGATAAAAAACGGGTTAACCGGCGGATAATATGAGTCCATGACTTCTTGCATATGATCACTTTTGAAAGAATTCTTAGTACCCCTAATTTGAGGAACCCTCAATTTGAGACTTTACAAATGTAAAAGTTAAGACTCATTGGTTATCCATTTTCTAAATGGATAATATGATTCTTATCCATATTTGACCTATTTTTAAAAAGTTCATTATCCAACCTAATTTTTAGTGAATAATATGAGTGATTAACTGTTTTCTTTTAACCATTTTGTCACCCCTAGATACCACCACTGCTTTTTCCTGCCCTTCGAGCTGCATCGAATACCAATAAAATAATGTCCTCAGGCATTTAACTGAGTTGAAATACCAGTACTGTTTGATTTTATAAACTTCAGTAATCACTCTACTTTATAGCCATATATGTTAAAACAATAGTGTGCTATCTGATTCAAGGAGGAAGAACAAAATTGAAATCCAAGAGAACATACAGAAAACATCCCTCTACATTCCGGAAGCAATATATATTGGAATGTGCTATGGAGCTAACCTAACTTGAAAACAAACTCACTGGTGAAAGAACCAAAATTGAAAAGCTGAATTTATCGGAAAAATTAAAAGAACAAAAATCTGAATAATGAAGTAAAACTATTTACAAAAAGAAATCTCGCCTCAACTTCAGTAACCACGTTTAAGCCTCAACGGGAGCGATTCTTCCTCTGCTCTAATCTTCAACATCGATACCCATTATCACATGGTTAGTGCATGCTGTCAAAATAAGATAAAATTTCTATAGTGCATCAAGAATAAACAGACATCACAGATGCAAAAAAAACTAAGGGAGAAATGGAGATAATACCATATAACCAGTAGAGTCTACTGAAACAATGAATCCATACAGCTGCAATTAGTATGAAGTTTCTTCTCATCGATTATCTTGTAACAAAGATCTTAACTAGCAATTAAGTGCTTGTGATCATCAACAGTAGACAAAGGAACTAGGAAATCAATTTGCCAGAATATCTATGTGCACTTATCAGTTGATTGAGTAAGACAACAAATATAGGAGGTAAGGTTATGAACTGCAGTGTTCCCTAGGGCAAAAATAAGCATGAGTACACAACCATACATCGGACATATACAGGAGTATTTGAGAAACGAGCTACTACATGCTCAGAAAATTATGGAAAAGCTTTAATGATTAGACTTTCACACTAGTACAAGAAAAATCTGACTTCGAACTAAATAACGGAAGCAGAAATAGTTACCTTTGCAAAACAGAGAGAATAGCTAAATAAAAGACCATAAAGTCCACTACAATTGGGCAGTAAATGATGGAAGTGGAAAGAGTTACCTCTGCAAATAACAGATAGATTGGCCAACTAAAAGACCATATAGTCCACTACAATTTGCAGTAAAGTGTATAATGAACAATGACCATTGGCCTCACATGAACATCCGAAGACTTGATACCAAGTAATCCCAAAAGGAGGGGCCTTGGACATTTGGAAAAAGATTGGATGCTAGCAATCCAATTACGAACCTCTTCCCCCGTCTCAATGATAGTACAATCAACAGCATTCTGCACTGAACAGCGTAGAGCTGACATTTTCATCTTTATTTACTGCCAGTATTTCATTCCAAGATGTTCAATATGATAAGTAATATGTATGCTTCTGCGAAAGTGTATATGATCAAATTCACCAACCCAATCCGAGGATATACTTCTCGCCTGATGGATAGGCAATCTCCTCGAAACCTTAGAGAGAGACAGAGTGACACAATAAGAGGAGAAATAAACACAATTTCTAATTGATAATACCAAAAATGTAGCAGGCCCTCAAAAATAATAGATCTGGAACATACAATGATCCCAAAGACTCAAAGAAATAATAATAATAATAATAATAATTAAAAAATAAAAAACAGAGCAACGGATAAGGACAGGAAAAGGCAAGTCCAAAGAGAAGACTCTCCTCCTGTCAAGTATTCTCTCAGCCACATGCTTAACCTGACAATAAAGGAAAAAGTACAAGATCAGATAGCGTATGTGAGAAATCAAAAGACTACAACCGCAAATATGCATAAAATGCCTGCGTGCAACTCTTCATCAAATGCAAACTTCTAATGCAGAATGAAAGTGCATTTGAATAACATAAGGTGCATTTAAATAACATAACATTTCTGTTGAAAGAAAATGAGTACAAGGGGAAACAATCACCTCACTTTCAATAACAAAATGGCATGTAAATCCCCGAAGTTCCAGCACTCACCTTTGGAGCGAATAAAGACCATTCATCCCACTAGGGGGCAAGGAGAGGAAACGGAAAAGATATAGAAAACTCACTTGTGTACTCCCTTTGCTCCCTTTTCTTTTTGCCTTCTTCACTGAATAATGCATAGGAAGTAGGAAACATCATGAACCAAGATAAAGCCACTTGGAGAAAATTGCCAAAAGCACGCAGCTCAAAATGTACTTTTGATTCCATGGAGCAGTTCCACAGATCAGAGCAAGAAATTTGATATAGGATCACTAAGAGATTCATCTTCAAACTTATCACACAAAAAAAAATTCATCTTCAGTAAATAAATTTCTTTAAGGGAGGGAAGATAGAGAGTTTTGTTTTACTTATTCTGAGAAAAATCAAGATTTCAAAATGAAGGAAGCATATGATGCCTCAAAATGTCATGTATATTTGTTGCAACGATAACAATCCTAAGCTGTACACATACCAAAACTAAAGAAAAGTCAGAAGTGATTCAAAAGAGAACCCTGACTGAAAGAAAGAAAGAAAGGGCTACTTTATCCCTAAATAATACAGCTTCAAATCTGACTACCAATTGTAAACCTAATCTTGTTGTCTCCGAAGGAATTCACGTCTATCAGCAGGAGTAGAAGTATAACATTCACATGGCAAAATGTTTATCTTTTCAACCGCCTTTTCCACCTTGAGAATGTTTTTCTTGCAGGCACACTGCTACAGAAATGTCAAAAGTGCCAAATTTATAGCAGGACAATTAATCAGTCTCTGACTATAAACAGATCCACAAGATGCTCAACAAAACGGTCTTGTCTTTCTCGACTGCAGCTCTATAGACAACTAGCTTAGCAAGGATCATTTTTTAATCAGGAAGACATTCCTCACTCGTCAATGATTGTTGTACCCACTAGTGAACAAATTGATCGGACTGATCACCCTGTGGCAAAGCATCAAAATAAGGATGATTATTCATCCGTGGTCCATTATGATTTTGCACCCGGCTTCATCAGCATATACCTTTCTATCAACTTGTCTACGAAATCTCTAATCTGCAGATTTACCAATACAACAAATCAAAGGCAGAGAAGCAACAAAAAGAGAAAATAAATATCAAGCACATTGAGCAAGTGCTATGAAAAATACAAGTATTTCTTTCGAGTAAATCTCCAAACAGATCCATATAATTCTTAGTCTTTTTTATTTTATCATAATAATCCTTGGTCATATTTTGATCCCAACTGTATCCATTGTTCTCATTTAGACCTACAAGCATTCTTTTTTAAAGGCGACAATCTGCCCATTACCGGCAACAGTAGGGAGCAAAATGGGAGGTGTTGTCCTAAGTGGCAATGGAGGGTACAATTTGATGACAGCGTGGGAGAGGGGGGACAGTGGCACTGTTAAGAGTGCGATAGAGGGAGTCAGAAATTGGCAAGGTACAGAGCAGTATGGTTTGGATGGGAAGGANGAAACAAGGGAGGCCAGAAGCAGGGTATGGGATTTGCTGGGAAAGAAGAGTAGACTATAATGCTGGTGGGAGTGGGGTGGTGGAGGTGGACCTGCAACTCTTCCTTCATTTCCTTTTGCATGTTTTTTTTTCCGGAACCTTTTGCTAATAACTATTTTGCCCTGAATTACATCAAAACACTCTCACTGAGGGGTTTCAAATGGGATTTAGATCGGTGCTCTTGAATGATGGGAGATAATCCAACCAGCCTACTGCTTTATCCAGATCAACATGATTGGGCTGATATTGATTCAATGGATTTCCACAGGTAAATACTTTAGTTGCACTGGGTATTTGGGCTTAAATTGACACTACTCTCATGGTAGGCCATGAAATCACATGATAACATTGGCGATAAACAAATGGACCAATTAAAATCAAGATTGCGACTATGTTATAACAACTCGATTAGGAACAAATTCATGGCTGAGGGCACGGTTAGGGTACTGTTTTGAGATTACTGTTTAATCAAGATTGGGAATATGTTACAACAACCTAGGAACAAATTCATGGCTGAGGGCACACTTAGGATATGGTTTTGTGAATTACTGTTATCGAAAGGTGAAGGCATGGAGGAAGACATAAATAAGAAAACTACTCAACTGAACCTATTAAACAATGTAAAAAGGTGACATCAACTGAGAGCAGTTTGTACCTTGTTTTTACGTTTGAAATCAAGAAATTCGTACACAAGCATTGACTTTTCAGCATCCGTGGCATGTTCCATTACCTAGAGTTTGGAACAAGATCAGTTCACAAAGGATAGATATAAAAAGAGTAAAGAACCCAAAATATGGGGGAAAAAGATTAAAAGAATCCAATAGGCTAGAAAACTAGAGGTGAGACATGACAGAAATCAGACCTTTGTAGCAGTTTTCTTCATTATTGATTTATACCCTTCCTTGTCGAGTTTCCTTGCTTTATAAAGAGGCATCAGCAAAGATCCAACATAATCTACAACAGCCTGCTTGATTCTTTCTGCTCCTCTCGGTTGATCATGCAACATCTCTTTATTTACAGTAATTTGTGAAGCAGAGCTCTCACACACTAACACATCATGCTTTCTCATAAGCATTTTGGAACTCATGTTTGAATCCTCTTCATCAGTGACATGCATCACTGGATCATAGAAATCAGAATTAGCAGCAGCTGCTTGACATTGCCACATTTCAATGGCATTGTAATCCTTTATCCCTATACTACTTGAGCTATCAACCCACGCTTTGGTGAATATACTACTATCTACAGGTGCACTTTCGCCTGAGTGCTCCCTAAAATTAAACTGACATGCATTGTCATTTGAGAGGCTACGCTGCGAGCGATTATCAACAGACATTCTTGAACTGTCAAGGTTCACACCAGCAGCAGAAAAATCAACAGACCAATCCCTCACTCGGCAGTTGCGGGAGTCTATTTCAGATAAGCAATCTTGCCTTCCTACTGCACCACCAGGCCAATTCCTTCTGATGTCAGACTCATCATTTGCATATTGTTCCCGTCTAGCAAATTTGTGAAATGAGGGTATCTTAGGAAGCTGCAGAGGCATGTTACACTTAGCACCAGATGAAGCATAAGCCTGCAATGAAGGGTAATTATTGTACAGCTGCTTAAGAGAAGCCAAGATCTATTTGAGGAAAAAAACATAAAACAGATAACAAAATTTGCAATATAGAGCAGCCCAAAATCAACATAACAAAGAATCCAACATTGTGTGTTTCCCCTTTTTCTAATAATTCACATACTCAGAGGAATAACCCAAAAACCAGTAAAATGTAGCATATTCCCAGATTGAACAATGAATCAATACAATCAATACTAGGGGATGATAAATTATAAGGAACTAACCTCAGCAGCGGCAAGAGCAGCAACACGAGCTGCTTCTGCAGCGGCGAATGCAGCCTTTTCATCCTCAGACATGGGAAAATCTTGCCTTTCCTCAGTGGTATCATTTTCCCTTCCTACTGAAGTTTGAGAGGTTGACGGTTCAACATCTGGAATAGTTTCCAACGTGGCTGGCTTGACATTCAGCTTCTTGTTGTTAGCATTGCGTATTGGTGGTTTTCCAAGTGCTCCAGTGTGTTTACTCTTTGAAGTATCAGCAGCAGTGGATTGCCTTAATAATTTCAGACCACCATTAGCAGCCTTCTCCTTTCGAAAAATTTCTATCCACACATTGACAAGCTGACTTGCTATGGCACGTATGTCACGGCTAGTATGCACACAGACTTTTTCTTTTACAGTTTTCCCGATACCTGAATAAAAGATGACAAGAATAGGATCAATAAAATCAATACAAAGACGAAGCAAATGCACCAGTGATATGACGATTATAACGATCATTAGCAATTAACGGATATACAATGCAAAAACTTTCGGTTTAACGCATAGAAACTCAAATGCAAGAAATGGTTATAGAGAATATAGAGGTTTCCGGTGGCATATGCAAGTAAATAATTGGGAGGTAACAATTAGCTTATATCAACAATATGGGGAAAAAGCTGAACAGTTTCAAAGAATATCACAGAACTGCATCTCCAACNTCCTTTCAACATCCGAATGCCTCTTTGCATCCTCCATCGCCTCTACTTCTGCTGTGTAATCAGTGCCTATAGTCAATATATCAATTATGCGCACAGCTTCTCGTAACCCACTCATCATTGCACCACCAACTGTGTCAGGGTGCTCCTTGCAAGTAGCTTCACCCGCAAAAAATATACAGTTCTCCACAGGCCTGCCCAATATGTCATAATCTTCTCCAGATGACCCTACAGCCACATAAGAGTAAGCCCCATAGCTATAAGGATCTTTTCCCCAGTTGGTGACCACAGAAGCAACTGGATCAGGTACCCTGTTCTCACCATAAAGCTTGCGCAGAACCAGTAATGAATGCTTTACATGGTCAGAGGAGCTCATGTCCTGGCCATCTATAGCAGCTTTTCCGACCACTAACGCTATAAGAACAGGCGCCCCAACAGTTTTCTTGACATTCCAGAACATAAAGCATCTCCCCCTCTGGTCTGTTTCTTCTGCAGTCGCACCAAAGTAATCAATAGAATCGTCCCAAAATACTTCAGGAAACTCCAACACAACTTTATTAAGAACACCAAAGCCGAGCCGTTGGATAGACAAATCTTTCCAGTAGGGTAAAGGTGGTGAAAATTTAATGGTTTCTGCCTTAAGACACCCTAATGGAACTGTAATTAGGACTGCATCTCCTGAAAACTCTCGTCCATTTGACGTGGAAACTTTTACCTTGTTAAACAAGTCATTTTTTGTCGGGATGTCTTCTTTGCAATATGAAATATCAGTAACAATGTGGTTTAAGTGAACGCAAAGTCCCTCGCCTAGTGATTCAACAACGGAGCTGTAGCCGCCTTTAATCATACAATGAGCTCCACCAAAACCTCCATATGCATCATCTTGATTCCAATAAGGAAGAGAGACTTCTTTAAGTAATGCAGCACAACCATACTCCAAGTTGGCAAAATGCCAATCCATTACCCTCCTCTCAAGAGGGCTCAAGATCTCTATCTTAGAACTAAGATTTTGAGAAGTTCCCCCATCAGGAAGTGTCATGGATTCCACTGCTGTTACTGATGATTTTTGTGGTTCATTACCCATATGATTTCTTGCATAACGAGCCTTGCGACGTCTCTTAAGGGCATATTCTAAACCATCCTCCAAAGACATCCGCATCGCATGCTCCCCTTTTTGAGCAACCAACAGTACCATATCATCCAATAAGCTGTTGTATTCTGCTTCCAATGCTTCATCTAGATCTGCTGGCACTTTCTGGCCAGTAGCTACATCATACAGTGGACAATCACTGTTCAACACAGTCAATTCAAGACCCAACTGTGCACAAATCAATGAAGAAGGATCCGGTCTTCTTTCAGTCGCCACATCTGCCTCAATACCGGTAATAATGCTAGCACCAAGGTCAACTGGAACAGAGAGAGATGAGCGATCTGTAAAAACACGACCACCTATTCTACTTCTGGCCTCGAGCACGGTAACATGGAATCCTTGGCGTTTCAGGTGCCGCGCTGCGGTTAGGCCAGCAGGACCAGCACCAACAACAATTATTCTTTTTTTCCCTTCTGCATCACAGCATGTGTTTTGCCTCTGACTCCCGAACGAATCAGGTGGGAATCCACAAGAATCTTCTGAAATCACAAGATGTTTATCGGCTGTTCTACCATCAATCTCTCTATTGTTAGGAGGCAAAAAATCTGGATGTACAATACTCTGTAATTCACTATCCTTAACTTCACCTGAAGGCACTGGACCAACTGAACCTAAATCAAATGGTTGACAGGGTGACTGTATATCAAGATAACCATTTACCCGCAAATCGTCAGCAGGACATTCTCGTTGCTCTGATAGAGTAGATAACTCTATGGCCGGCCTATCAATGAGCTGGCAATCAGTTCCACCGTTTTCTGTCTTTTTCCTTTCATCAGATAAAACATCATTCTTCTCTGGCCTGACAATCTCAGAACTCTTTGACCTCCCAAGAATAAACGAAACTCCATCATCTGTATCAGCAACAGGAGCTCCAGAGTTTTCTACAAATTTTTCTTCCTTCAAAATTTTCAAGTTGTGGTCGACACCATTTTCAGCTTTATCCTTTTCTGAAGCAATTCCAAAATTTATGTAGCCCTGTTTAAAAGTGGTTAAACTGTGAAAAATAATGATAAACTAGCAAGCAAAGAGAAGTTCATGAACCAAAAATAGTTTAACGTAGAAAGATCATATTGAAAAAAGAAGGGCAGATCTCCAGCTTGAATAAGAAAACTCCAATGTGAACTTGGAGGATTGCAAAATACTTACACAGTGATCAAGAAATGAATAGATTTGCCTAATTAAAGAAGCCCGAGGTGATTCATCCGCCAAAGGGGTTTCAGACACTCCACATTCTGAAAGAGGTAAGACACGACTGATGTCTTTATTCCAAAGGCTCAAAATCTGATTCCTGCATCGCAACAAAGATTCACCAACCAACAGAAATCAATAATGAAAATATAAAAAACAACGAAGACTGAACTGCATCATAAAGGAAAGTTAACATGCAGTAAATACCCTGATCCCCAACTGTACGCAAGTTAACAATGGAAAGCGCCAAAACCAAATTCCTTAAGTCACAAAACTCAGATTTCCACGGTCCATTAAGAAATAATAGAGATAATAAAGAAGCTTTCAGGAATAGTTATTAGAGAGAGTTTTTTTATATTACAGAAATCCCCGGTTTTTGGCCTGAGTCAGTTGGTGCACCAGTTAAAAACTCTGGGGTGTAAGCGCCTTCCCCTCTACCGTCGTTCTAAGAGAGAAACCCTGTTAAAAAGAATACCCGGAACAGTATATGAGCAGACACCATCTCTCTTAATTGTAATCTTTGGCCTGCATCCGCTGGATGCTTTTAATGAATTCTCCTTACTTCATCAAAAAAAGAATACCTGGAACAATATTCTAATTGTCTGTGCATGCGCATACATAAATTACCTGCCTAAGAGTGGCTTTAGAATAAATGATATCAGAAGAAGTGAGGTGGACACGTATAAATTACAGTACAGGCTGCAGGTTAGGGTAAGGTGAGAACCCTAAAGACCCATCCACCTGCATTACACAAAAAATTTAAATTTTTTTATTGTTTAAAATTTTCTTTTTCATTTAGAATTTGTCTTATATTATCACCTTCCTAAATGAATCATCGTCTCTCATGTTCCTAGTTCAAAATTTTGCAGCGCTCATGAATGCTATGTTTGGTTGAGAAGAAAGGGGGATTGGAGCGGAAATGGTAATGGGGGATTGCAGTGCTCATGAACACTGTCTTATCCTCCCCTCCCCTTCTTGGAACCAAAGATAGTGTAATAGTATTCTCGCGGGATGCATCATGGAATGATTGGTGCTTTGAATCTTTAGATAGATCTGAAACTAACAACCCGTCTAAAAATGAAACTACTTGCTCCCTTCTCTTACGCACCACCAGAGTATGAATGAAAAGACACACAAACGAGGGTGGAACACCTTGTACTCCAACGGTTACGATAATTGCCTTCCAAGAAATTGACCCAGGTTCGACTCCCGGCAAACGCATTTTCCTCTGGAAGTTTACATTATGAAATCTTATTACTTTATCAAACAAAAAAAAAGGAGGGAAAAGGGAGGGTGGAAAACCTATGTATCTGACCAAGTGCTTTTACACAAATTAATAAAGAAATTACTTTTCGATTTACATTATCAAAAAAATATAGAAATTACTTTGCAGTCCTTCATAAACTAGAAAGTATATTTAGCTCTACCAAAATGATCTAAACTACTAAACACAGTAAAACAACAAAATATTGGACAAAGCAAATAGCTCTTTGGTTCATTAATGGTTATCAAGAGTAGTTAGACCATAAGAGATGACACCAATGCACATCAGAAACCAATGAGTTGTTCCAATTATATAGCCAACTAATCAGATAAAGTGTGGGTTCAAAAGTCCCTGCCATATCATTAAAAATATTAAGTAACTTTTTCCCCTTTTTATTGCTAATGAAGTATATATTTCATATAGAAACACATTTAGAGCTTCAAAAATCTACGCTGACATATGCTGTGTGTATGTTAAGCAATTTGAACTTTAAAATACATCAAGTGTTAGAAGATGACATATATTGTGTATATCAGTACAGCATTCATCAACCACAAAGTGGGATGTTGATTATAGTTCCTTACTTTTATTTATGCAAGACAGTCGATCATTTCAAGATTAAAATAGATGAATTTTTCAATAGAAACACTATTTAGAGCTTCATAAATCAACAATAATATATACACCTATTGTGTGGAGTACGTGCATGTTAAGCAAGTTGAACTAAAAATAAGCATCAAGTGTTAGAAGATGATTAACGATATATTTTCCGCAAAGATATATGCCTGTTTCAATGAATAAGATAATGCATTAAACTAATTTGTATTGCAAGCACTCTTAGCTGACAAAATTTTACGAAGTAACTAGAAGATTACGTGATGCGTTACATTTTCATGCAAAATCATAAGCGTGTTTCAAATATATAAATCCTCATGGTGTAGTATAGCGGTCAATGAAGTGGGTGAGAACCATGAGATCTCAGGATCAAATCCCAATGGAGGCAAAAACACTAGGTGATTTCTTCCCATTTGTCCAAGCCTTAATGGACAGAGTTACAGGATAGTTGTTGATGGTGGGAGGTAGCAGCCTAGCAGGTATCTCATGGAATTAGTCGAGGCGCGCGCAAGCTGGCTCGGATACCACGGTTATCCAAAAAAATCCCCCACCATATCACTGGAAGAGAGAGAGAGAGAAACGAAAGAATACAATTCAAAATCCAAGAGAAGAGGGGAAAAAAGATACTAGCCCCTAAGGCTTTAGTCTAGTGGTAAAAGCACAGCTTGTGATGTGTGGGTTAGGCTCACGACACAACTTCGAACCTTGCGACGGACAAAGCAAGTATTTCATGGAATTAGTCGAGGCGCGCGCAAGCTGGCTCGGATACCACGGTTATCCAAAAAAAGCCCCCACCATATCACTGAAAGAGAGAGAGAGAGAGAGAAACAAAAGAATAAAATTCAAAATCCAAGAGAAGAGGGGAAGAAAGATACTAGCCCCTAAGGCTTTAGTCTAGTGGTAAAAGCACAGCTTGTGATGTGTGGGTTAGGCTCACGCCACAACTTCGAACCTTGCGACGGACAAAATAGAGAAAGGTAGAGGGGCGGGCCTATTATCCACCAAGTTTCGAACCATTCGCCACTAGTGCTCGAGGATTTCTCAGTTATCATAAAAAGGGGGAGGAAAGATATTATGCTTTCAAGGCATGCTTTATCTACACTAAGCCTTCAAGTCATAAAACTAGCATCTTTCTCGTACTTAGATGCCTTCTCCTAGTAAAAAGCAAAAAAGACACTTCAGTTTTCTCTATGCATTCAATTCAGCATCATAACTATCAAAACCAGCACACATGTAAGATGTAACAAATCATACTCAATGTCAGCAAGGGAAAGAGGAATTATTTGCAATGTCATCTGTCAAAAGAGAAAAGAACTTTTTGCAATGTCATCCCAGTATTTACTGAAATTAACAAGATACAGGACCATTTTCCAAGCATCATTATTGGCTAAATCTTTCCCACCAGACTAGGCAGAGATAACCCATGTGGATTATGTTGTTAGTTACAAATTAAAATATTAACTAAAACTTTCTCCCTAGTTTTTACTCTTAGGAAAGGTTCTTATCTAATGGTTCTTCAAGGAAAACAGGAGCCAGGAGCATATTTATTTTTCTATGCAAGTAGCCAGGGACTAGTTCAGTTTTTTTTTTTTTTTTTTTTTTTGCAACAATGAACTGAGCAGAGATCAGAATGACCCCAAAGCAACAAAAATGAAGGAAAGATTATAAACATAATTTAGTTATCTCATGGACAATCTCTTGTAAGGAACTTACATAGTACATTTACTAGAAAACTGGAAATGGTATTCAGAGTACAAGATCTGTCATTACCTGCATTCCAGATATTCCAGGAGTCCACCTTTGCGCTTCAGCACCTCCTTAAACTTGATTCTTTCTACTGGCCCAACTTCACGAGCTTTCAGCCCAACAGATACTGCTGCTACCCCGCCATTTTTAGTATCCATACCAATCAACATAGACTCGAGCTTCTCTCTTGTTCTGAAGGAATGTCTACCATCTCCATCCTGATGGCTGAGAAGAAAATCTTGCCCATGCACCAGAATTTCCCAATCAACATCACCCTCGTAGGCCATGTCCCCGTGCCTACGCTTTTTGGTCTTACGTGGAGCACGTTGACCAGAAAAGAGTCTCTGCCCTTTTCCCTCAGAAGCCAGTTGAGACTCAGTTTCTTCAGCAGCGTTTTCATCACATTCTGGTGTAATTGATGGAGAAGATGTGGCATCAGCCTCATCATCTCCAGTAACAAATTCACGACTTTGATGATTTGCACCTTCACAATTCTCATCAGCCAGTTGACAATGATGGAAAGCTGAAGCGCATTTGCGCAATGAGGTGGCAGAATTATCAATAGTCATTTGTTTAGAAGAACCATACGTGTCATCACCATTCTCCATTATTTGGTCCTTGTGCTTCATCTGGCTGGCAACTTTAACTTTCTGATTCCTTTCTATAGCCACGGGAGATAACCCACCCTCAAACACTTGACCATCCTCCTTTGACAACGAAATTGGAGCCCAAGCTCGGTCATCAACAGAATCACCAGAAATTCGCTGCTCATCATAAATGTCACTTGAACGCTTATCTGCTGCAACAAAATCAGGCGTCAAACGAACTTGAGCATACCCACAACCTTCCGCGCCTGTCTCCTCCTTGGCTGCAGGTGAGCCTTCTAACAGGCAGGTGGATGGCATCAAAGTTTGAATAGACACATTTCCAATGCTTCCTTGTGGTTTATCAAGTTTGTTCAATAACTGAACGCTTCTACAAGAACCTGAATCATCTGCTTGGCTTGAAGAGCAAATTTGATCATCTACATGAGTTTCCCGGCTGCTTAAAATTGCATTTGAGTTCACATCCATATCAGCATTGAACTTGGTTTCTGACACAGGATGCTCAAACTCAAGCTTCTCGATATTCTCAGGAGTAATGGTATGTACAGACGAAATATCACGACCTGCTGTCATTGAATGATCACTAAAACCGTCCTTGGAAGCAGACTTTTCATGACAATTAGGACAGTTCTTCAAGACACCCTCATCATGAAGATCCTTACATTTTCCACCCGCAATATCATTCACACTGGCAATTTCCTCTTCACTAAGTTTAATGTGACATTTGATCTCACCATCTAGGACACCTGAGACCTTAATGGAAGATGCATCATCTATCTCATTGCTTGAATTCAACAACTCATCATTGTACAATGCAGAAGAAGAAAGCTCTGGCCATGAAAGGAGTTGGACACATTCTTCCTTTATGGGCATTAACTCACCTGTTGCAATAGGGTTTGAGTTCAAAACATCACATAAAGCTTCACTTTCCTTCCCTCTTTTCAACTGCAAAGGACTGTGGGATCTCTTAATCAAACCAGATTGTGCTTTCTTCAGAAAAGCTGATAGTGAATCTTCTAGAATGCCACCATCAATGCAATTAGGAGAGCTTTTTCCACTCTTTTTATCACATAGCAAGGAGATATCCCCAGATACCTCCACTTTCTGTGGCTCCAAAGCAAGCTTTGGCCTCTTACTCTTTCTCTTATTTCCTTTCTCAAAACCTTTATCGATTGTCCCTTCAGATAGACAATCCACATCTGACCGACCCTTTTCCACAATCTTGGCCATTATGTTCACAGATCCGTCCAGAGATTGCACTGTCAACTTACTTGAACTTTTCCCAGTAGTTGATACAGATCCACTATCCTTCTTAGGACCCTTCAACTTTTTCCTAAAACTAGCTAAGGTATCATCCATGCCAACCAAATCTTCATCCTTAACCGCTGCTTTCCGAACCACAGCCTTGTTACTACCTAATTCCACCTTGACTTTATTCAAGTTCTTTTTGCTTTTTAGCTTCAGTAAAGACCCAATAGGCTCATCATCTCCTGAATCAAATTCCATCTCGACGCGCTTCTTAGGTGCTCTCTCCAACCCTAATTTGATATTCTCTTCCTCCCCCATACCACTAGGGCATCAATCATCAATACACTCCCCTCCTCCACATGTAAACCCTAGCCAAAATTCCTTCAACACATTCAACGTACAACCATTCCAGGATACTGAATCAGCAAAACAAATCCAAAATTCATAAACACAACAACATTCATATAAAAAAAATCTTCTTCCTTTTCCACAAAATTAGAGCCAATGCAAACAATTAATACTATTTAAGTTTTTCAGTTAACTAAAAAAACATTCAAAATTGGAGCCTATGAATTGTTAACAACTACGAACAGCTCAAAATTTAGATGAAACAGTAAGAAATATTAGAAAATTAGGGTTTTTTGAGGGGGCAAAAGGAAGGATCGGACCTGAACGTTGGAGCTCTGTGTGTGTGAGGTCGCGTGAATGGAATCTTCTAGAGAGAGAGAGCGAGAAAAGGGAGGATGCGCCCTTGCGCACGTTAGCGTTCACCGGCTAAAGGAAGAGAAGTTCGGCCACGGCCTAAAGCACACTGCGCCTACTGTCAAGGGACGTTGATATGATATGACGGTAAATTTTTAGGGACTTTACACATAGGCCCGCTTTTTTTTGTGTGTGTGTGTAATATCACCCTTGTTTGACTTTGACCCATAAATGATTAGGGAAAATCGGATTATGCAACTTAGAATGATATTGATTTTAATTTCTATTATTAACCTGTCATTAGTTCTATAATAGACACTTGTTTGCACACTTTTAGGGTGACTTGCCGATTAGTTTTACTCACTCCATTCACTTTTACTTCAATGTACTAAAAATATATTTTCACTTATACTTGTCCCTTTTAGTGAATCAAGAAAAAGATAATTTTTTTTTCTTTGTTTAACCATTATCATTAACTACTCATTTCATAATTTATTTTTCAAGACTTTTTGAAATGCAATTATTATTAGGGGTTATATGGTAAAATATATACTACAATTATTATTTCTTGAGGGACGTAAAAAATCCAAAGTGGACAAGTAAAAGTAAACGGATGGAGTACAAGAATAATACAACATTTTTTTGGCATAGTTAAGTTTTGGGTGACCACTCATTAGGAGTGTTTTTTGTCCCCTTTGAGGTGTTTTATGTTAATTTAAATTTATTTTAAAAAAATTGAAGTTGAAAAAGGTCTTTATTTATATACTTCCCAGATTTCGCACGCCATGGCTATGGCCCAACAAACTATTGGGTCAATGCTTTCTTTTGGGACCTCCAATCCATAACATTGGCCCAACAATAAACTATAGTGTCAATGCTTTCTTTTATCATCACCAATTTAACTCTTTCTTTTCTTTCTGATTGTCTCTGAGTTCCGACATTATAAAGTTCAAGTCCCTAAGTAAAAATGACACTTGATTTAGGGTTGAATGGCTCATAATTTTTCAAGAATTGAAATATACTTAACTTTTTGAATAATTTAAACTTTTATGACGTATATTTGTCAACACTACTGCTACAAACAAGCAAAAATTTAAATGAGAAAAATCTCAACAAACTTCATTAAATGATGTCATCCGTATAAAAACCAAATATAAATATGATTTAGATAAAGCTCAAGCTGGTCAATTTAAAAGAATGCTCTATAGAAATATACATTTTCCAATTTATAGTCTAGCTAAAAAAAACAAATATATCAAGACAGAAAAACCGCTGAAGAAGCATGGTTATATTAGCATTGCCTCGTTTTTTAAATAAATAAATTGCCCTGCCACCACAGTTAATTATGGCAATTAGCATTCCCTCTTAAATTAGCAGATAATTGACATATCTTCAACAAAAGAAAACTACTAGTATAAGATAATATCTTCAATACAAACAATCAAATATGTTTCCATGCTTACAATAATTTTCTCAAAATCAAGAAAAGATTGTCTCCATCACACCTTATTATAAGGCAACCAGTAAATATAAAAATAAATCCTAGTTTTTTTTTTTTTTCGTTTTTCGTTTTTCTTCTTTTTGATGGATAGGAACAACATGAATAATAGGAGAGAATGACAATAGAATTCACTATGGCTATTAGATACATCAACAACAGAACATAATCCCACAAGTTGGGTCAGGGAGGGTAGTGTGTAGTGGCGGACGCACGTGATGGTACTGAACCCACTTCATCAAAAAATAATACTGTATATATGTATAAATTATGATTAAAGCTGCATAAATTTTGTATAAATATTTTATTTGAACCCACTTGATAACTACTATTTTACGACTAAAGTTACGTACTTCTAAAATTGAACCCGCCTGCATAAAATCCTGGGTCCGCCACTAGTAGTGTGTACGCAAACCTTAACCCTACCTTCAAGAAGACAGTAAAACTGTTTGCGATAGACCCTCGGCTTAGGACTATGACTATTGGATCTTGACCCAAATTCCCTTACTTGATATGTCTTGATGAACCACAAATAACATATAGTAACCAGGTGGCGCTAATTTACCAGAACTCGGGAAGATCAAATTGATTTGGTAAGTGGACTTTCCAATCCTTCTCACCTTTCCACTTGAAAGCACAAGCACTCTTTGGTTCATAGTATTTGAATGTGTATTAAACCCAGGTGCAACCATTGTTACTTTGACCAAATCTGTGTTTAATAATCCGGAAACAGTAAATCGAATGTTAACACTTTGCCTATACTTGGTTTTATGACGGGAAGAGGGAGAAATGATCTGTGGTCGCAAATTAGCAGATTTCGGATCCAAATAGGATGGTGAGAATGCCTCCAAGCTTAAATCCGTTGGAAAAAGAACTCCAGTGAAGTTGTAAAACTTGTTTGGATTACTACCTCCAGCAAAAACCCGACCATCTCGGAGTAAAACCGCTGTTGAGCGGTATATTCTCGGTATGACATTCGGGTTTTGTACCTCGAATCTAGAACCAAGTGGGTTATCGGGTCGATAAATCACCGGACTCAAAACCGGTTTCCTAGCGATTTGCCATCCAGCAGTGCCCGCTGCGGCTCCATTGATGATCAAGACATTTCCATTTGGTAAAATTACCATGTCACCCATTGTTCGAGCTAATGGCATTTTCTCCATTGTCCACTGTGGATTCGGGTCGGTAATTGTAATTCGCCCACACGTGTTTAATGCACCTATAAATTCACCTTTGTCCGCTTTGGGGTATGACCCTCTTGGTGCTCCACCGCACACCAAAACCTCAGCTTGAACCTTTTGTGTCCGCAAGTTCTTTAACGGAAGAAGAACTGCAGAATCCGAACTTGGATAATTTCTCGGGTCGCCACCAGGTATTTGTGGGTACGTTTTCACCACCTTGTTCGCCTTGTAGTCGAACAAGATAGCTCGATCATTAGCGAAAATGAATAGATTTCCATCCACATTGAGAAAAACAAACGGGAAAAGATTGTTCTCTTCTCTAGGATTATTAGTTTGCTGAAGAAAGGGCAGGCTAAATACGTTGTTGGTTGAAGCAGTTTTGGGATAAAACTCGTAGTTAAAAGCCTTACGACCACCAATGATAATTTGCCTTCCATCTGGAAGAATATGATTGGTGGAATACCATCGACTCTGAATTAGGTTACTTCCCATTTCCTGCCAGTCACAAGTGCTGCATGGTTTGACTACTCTAACCATACGTTCACCGTCGTTGAAACCACCAGTTTGAACCAAAGAACCGTCGGAGTCGACGGAGCCAGAGGAGCACCACACATCGGTCTGGACCATGAGGGGACGCACAGAATTGGTGGAAACATCGTACTCGACAGAGTGAGCAGTGCAGTCAACTTTCAACGCGAGGTCATTAGGGTTGTTGCGACATTTGCCATTGGGTAACGAGATGTTGGATGCGCCAAAGTCAGTACGGTCGTACATTATGACTCTGTCGTTATTGAGGAGTTGCATGTGCATGGCTGAAATGCCAATGTTGGACATCAGTAGCTGCCACCGACCACCCGCAGCGTTAGCCAAGTTCTGGTGAAATGGTAGTAGCAGAAGCAAAAGGAGCTGCCATAGAATGTTAAGAAAAGGAGTTGTTGTTCTAATCGTCATGAGCTATGACTTTAGCTTCTTTTTCCTTTTTCGTTCGGACAATTTTACAACAAAAGGAGGAGGAAGTGAGTTTTTTCTTTAGGAGAGGAGGAATAGTGTTATGAAATTGTGAGATGGGAAATGTCCTTTATATATTAGTTGGGGTACGTGATATCTTGATGGGCAATTATACTATAGTACCAGAAACAAGGCAATAGTTTACAAAAAATAATTCAGTTTTGTGGCAGTTTGTCGGTATAAGAAACTTGGAAAGAATATTAATTGCCATATTAGTATGACATTTCTTAATGCGAAATAGCGCTTAGGAATTAATATTTGAAGGATTTTAGTCAACGCCATCTCCAAAAAATAAAATAGAAAGTCAACTCATACTATTGCACCAGCTAGCTAGTTATCTCTCCTTGTAAAAGATTACATTGCACCTTATTTTCAGCTTCGTATCTCTTTTGTTTAAGTTGTGAGTGTATGAGTGGTGGGTGTATATTTTCGGCACGACAGGTCAATTGAACCATGCAGAGAATGTATATCTTAAGTACTATTAATTTGGTCCAATATCATCCCAAAAAAGAAATAGTAACAATAATATCAATAATAATTTAGAGACAGAATAAGCAGCAATAATAATTTAGAGACAGAATAAGCAGCTTATGGGTTTATCAACTTAATTTCCCATCTGTCAAAGATCTCTCTTGTTATTTCTATAGGTTGTGATAAGCATTTTGTTGTTGTTTAGATATCAAATATTTGTTTATTTAACTTCTTAATTTCTATTCATTCTCTTGGAGTATGTAAATTCATAATATTTATAATTAGACGATTACGATACATAGGATTTTCATCGATAATGCCGATCATGGTGGTTAGTAATGGCTGCTTAGTGCTGATATAATTCAGTATATGCAATTATATCGCTATTATTCCATCATAAGTATAGAGTACTGTATAAGTAATATTTTAGTGGATTACGAAGAAAATTTGAATAATGAAATAAAATAAGAAAAAATGACATTGTACATCCACTTATGAATAATAGCCAAAAAAATATATAAAATTTATATATTTTTTGTATATATATACATTTTATATGTTATATACAAAAATTATATAAATTTTAGATATTTTTTGACTACTAAATATAAATAATTTCTAGCGCGCACTAAAAGTGATAATACCTCGGTAAATAAACTCTAGCCAGCTAATCAACTTATTTCTCCTCGGACAAAACGGACCGGCGTCTCTCTTTCCTGTCCTTTTCTCTTTTCTTATATTTTCGATCATTTTCATTTTCTCGGTAAAGATATGATCCACGGAATAAGTTAGAGAATGAGAATAACATTAAAATTCCGATCTTGTTATAAGAAAAATCAAATTATGGTGGATGTCTACTCTTCCTCCATGATCTTCTCAAATGCTTAATGACATATTCAATGACATATTTCTATACTTAATGACATATTCAATGACATATTTTTCTTCACTTTTCATGCCTATATAAAGACCTTGTAATAAGTAGGAAAATACACACAATTGAAGAAGAAAATCTCTTCCTTCTATCTATCTCCATTTCTTATTCATGTTTTACTAAATTGTTTTTATTTCATAACAACATGTCTTGTTCATGTTTTACTAAGTTGCTTTTATATTCTAACACATTATCATCACGAATTGCTTATTTCATGATCTTCTACGTCAAGACTATATAAATTATAAGCAAACAATCNTCAAGACTATGTAAGTTATAAGCAGGCAATGAGATCAAGTACAATGAAAAATGTCTTGGATGATAATACAAAGATAAGTTTTACATCCATCTAAACTTATTCATACTTTCATATCTTTGCATTAACTTTATGTGCAGTGTTTAGTAAAAATATTTTTTTCAATTGTATCCAGTGAAATAAAGAACTGGAAAGGTATGTCTTTATTTGCTACATCTCTTATAGGACAAAGATAATATTCTAACGTATATATATGTTCTGACCTTTTACATACTATGATAGATAATTATTAAGGTAATTTAGTAATAATATTTTTACCATCACATGATGTATTTCATTGAAAGCAAAATTATCAAATATGTAGGCGATTTTACAGTACCTTGCAAATTTGGCATTCGAATATACAATCAATATAAACTCATTATAGTTATAATTTATAATAGTCACAGTTATGCATTAAGCCTTAAATATTTTTGCTGGAAACATAAGGCTCATTCCTCCGTATTGGATTTTTTTGGTGAAGTTCTTATAGTCTTTGAAATATAAGTGGTTATAGGTTATCTGCACCTTTCCCCTAATTAATTTATTAAAATGTAAAAGTGATTGTATCTTTTAAAAAAAAATGGCATATATCCTAACTAGCATTTTTGTTGCAGAGGAACTGTTTCAAGATTGAAATAGTTATATATGTCTTCTTGAAAGTTAATTTACTTATGCCTATAATTATGAAGTAATAATATTTTAAAGGCTCGAGTGCGAGTCCTAGTGAATTTTGGCCTATTATGCCAAAGATTGAGGGTAAGACGATGGGTTCAAGTCCCAACGCACTATGTTGATGAAAAGACGTTGGATTCAAGTTCCAACACATTATGACTTAGCATGCCTTTATATGGGTAAGGCATTGGGTTTGAATCCTAATACACCATATTGATAATAATAATAACTAAAGAAAAAATAATGTAATTTTCATGAAAAAGCATGAAGCTTGTCCTACTTGATTTGCTCCATTCTTGAAGTGAATGTGATAGCAGTGCATGATAAGTCTAAATAAAGACAAGTGGTTGACCAATGAATGTGGGCGTGCGAAAGGCCAAAATAATAATAGTTATAACTATGGTAATTATAAAAAGGGAGAAATTCTTTGAAGAGAATGTGACTATGATAAACATTGAGATTGCATACTCATTCCTAAAAGTGAATGTAAAAATATATATATGATAAAGATTATGCATAATAATGTACTTGTGCATAGTTGGATAAATACTACAACTCACCTCTAAGGGAGGTTTGAGACAAAGAAAGATAATGAATATTATTGTATAGTTACATGAATATATCATTGGTCGCATGCATATGATACGCCAAAAATATTTTGTCATGCCTTATGAAAGTTATTAAAAGCAAAATTAGAGCAAGAAATCATTTTGCTTGTGATGATTTTGAACATGACAATTATTATGATATGATTCTCTTTGTGAAAGAGACATTCATTATATGGATGGTGTGACAAAAGATCTTATAGTACAAAAGCAGTTAAGAGCTCTAAAAGAACTAATTTGTTACTACCCGGATGAATGAAATTGTTCATGACATTACTATTATAGTAAGTCTCAAAAGAGATATTTTGATTTACAAATGTATTAGCCAAAGTGGTTGGCATATTGAGACTATAAATTAAAAGAAGATTGAATATCTTTATATTACTATAATCATACCGGGTAAATATGAAAGGTTACCTGACTTTTCTTCTATTTGTACTACACAAGTATAAGCATGATGATGCAATCACAAGCCACAAGTAAACTAGAGGTTTACTGAAATAAATATTAGTTGGCATGACCGGTTGACCATCTCGGTTCAATTATGATGCGAAAAAATTAATTGAGAATTACATTGGCATATATTGAAGAAATATAAGATTCTTCAAGAATTCTCTTGTGCTGCTTATTCTCATGATATACCAGTTAAGGTTGGGATTGAATCCCTTGATTTCTGGAACGAATAAAAGGTGATAAATATATGGGCCCAGTCACCTTCCATGTGGACCGTTTACTATTATATGATTTTAATAGATGCATTTATTCTATGGTCACATGTGCATTTGTTATCAACTTGTAGTTTGGCTTTTGCAAGATTGATTGCTCAAATTATTAGAGTACAGTTCCAGAATATAAATTATGATGATTTATCTTGATAATACTGGTTTAAATCCAAGTTGATTTAGCAGAAATTGTATGCCTCAAATTATATCTAAACCATTGGTTATGAGAACAAAATTACCAAAATAAAATTTGGTATGTGATGTATTATTTAATATACAACAGCACTTGTACGCATCTAGCCAAGTTATGAAAAGTTCTCCCTATCACAATCGGTTCAAGGTCAGGAACCAAATAATTTTCATTTAGAAATATGAATATGCTATATGATTTAATTGTTCCACCACAATGCATAAAGATGGATCCCCAAATAAGGCTAGGGATATGTGTTGGTGATCCCAACAATAGGGGGAGAAAATGGGCAGCTGAAAAAGTAATGCATGTAATGAATTATTATGAGTACATCGAGATCCTCGTACGAGAAAATGTGAACTTGAAGTTCAAGTGATAATTCATTTGCAAAATATTGCCAGGCATATTTGCTAACCCAAAACTAAATATCATATTCAGCTGCTAATGCTCCAAATAAAATAAAGTTCATAATGAATAGAGTCCATGGCATGCATAAAGCATAATAGACTAATCGGTTCCAAAAATAAAACTCCTTGAAGAAGGAGAGGAGCAAATGTTTGAGATGGTCATAATAAGGAGGCAAGTGCTCTAGAAGAGCACCACGACATAATACTTCATAAGACCTCATGGGAGAGGTTTAGGTACCTGAAAATAATAAGATAAAGAGATCTCAATAAGTTATGTCTTTATTGGGTAATAATAGAACCGATATAAAATGATCGTCAACGATATTGTTAATATAATATAGCGCTCAATATTATTAATATTGACGGGGATCTTGAGCTCAAATCCGTCATGAAATTTGGACAGATAAATGATTGGCCAAATGAAAAATATGCAATGAAAATTGATTTCACATGAAAAATATGAAGTTGGACGGATAATCCCAACACCTGAAAGTATAAAGCCAGCGGAGGTATAAATGTGTTCTTGTGCGAAAAATAAAAAAGGTCAAGTCGATAGACATAAAGACGACTTGTGTCACAAGAAGATTTGTAAATATCATGGCATTGATTATATAGAGACATGTTCTCCTGTGGTGGATGTCGCT